CCACGGGGGGCGCTGCAGCCTCAGGAACCACGGGGGGCGCTGCAGCCTCAGGAACCACGGGGGGCGCTGCAGCCTCAGGAACCACGGGGGGCGCTGCCCACTTCCGAAACCGCGGAATCCGCGGGATCGCGTCCTTAACGGACCTGGCCCCTTTAAGGGCCAGACGCGTCCCGGTGGCCAGCGAAGCGGCGGGCAGACGGGCTTCGGGCGTCCGCCTAGGCGAAGCAGCGGTGACGTCACCCGCGAACACTGTCGGGTGGAGAATCGGGCTGGGATTCCCCCCACGCGCATCAGGGTAAGCGGCAGAGAGAGAAACGGACCGGAGGAAAAGCTCGTCTGCTGCGTCCTCTTGTCTGGTCTCTCACCTCCGTCTCCTTCTGCGCGCTGGCGCTGCCAATCCAGGCACCTCGGGTGCCGGCGTCGGTCGCCGGTCAGCTTCCGGCCAATACAGGCTGGGGTCGCAGAATGAATAATTCCCTGGGACCATCCTTGGAACCCCGGGTAGATCTGCCCACAGCCGGTGCGCCACTGAAGTGCTTGGTCCGTTTTTAGGGAGTCCGGTCATTCTGTCACGGCGCGTACGCGCCCGGAGCACAGACAAACAGGCAGGAATCCAGGGATAGGGAAAACGGGGTTTAATCGTAGACGAGGCATGCTACAATGCAACATAACATCACATCAATGACCGGACTGGGGAAACAAACGGAAACGCGGACTAAATACAATGGACTAATGACAACAATCAGGAACAGCTGGTAAACACGGGGAATTCACATGCGGTTAATGAGGGGGCGTGGCACACAAGGGGAGTGGACGATCGGGGCATGACACCGGCGCTGATGCCGGACTCTCTGCTCAGTCTGCGGGCAGCACTGTTGTGAAGAGGCGTGCGGTTCGAAGGAAGGTTATATTTTAAAGTAAATACACTCTCTTTTAGAATTAATCTTTGGTGTCAAATTTTTGTGGTAAATATGCTAGTGGTGAATATGTCTGATGAATGTCGCTGCTTTGTAATTTTATTTACCCATAATTAAGCTGTTAGTTTAGCTCTTCCCACCGGCGTCGCGCACCGTCCAACATTTCCTGAGCTATTTCATAAACTTCAGTTCCCGTTTTGTTAGGGGAAGCTGTCCTGTTTTTATATTATACAGAAACATGAAGTACAGGCTGCCTGATAGTATTAATAATTCTTCCTCCTGCCTACAGACTCCTGCCAGCTGACACTGGACCCCAACACAGCAAACAGAGACCTGTCTTTTTCGGGGAGGAACAGGAAGGTGACAGAGGGGGAAGGGCAGCCATATCCTGATCATCCAGAGAGATATGACATGTGCTCCCAAGTTCTATGCAGAGAGGGTCTGACTGGCCGCTGTTACTGGGAGGCTGAGTGGGATGGAGATGATGCCCGAATAGGAATGACTTATAAAGGGATCAGGAGGAAAGGAGACGGTGCTGACTGTGTGCTTGGATGCAATGACAAGTCATGGATTCTGTGCTGTGATCCTGACTTTTACACTGTCCTGCATAATTATAAAGAGATTGACATACCCATAGAGCCCTCAAGCTGCCGCAGAGTAGGAGTGTATCTGGACTGGGGGGCTGGTGCTCTGTCCTTCTACAGCGTCTCCTCTGATGGACTGACCCTCCTGCACAGATTCACCTCCTCATTCACTGAGCCCCTCTATCCAGGGTTTCTGGTTTCTGAAAACTCCTCAGTGTCACTTTGACATGTTGCTGGTTCTCCTGGCAAAAAGGTAAAATCTCTGCTTTTTAACCTGTATAATTCTTTTTACTCTGAAATGTATGTTTGACAAAAATAAATGTCTGTGTTCAACAAGCTGAATAAACAAGAAAAATTTTATAGTTTTTCTCTTTGACTAAAATGTAACTAAATGTAATCCTGATGGGGGGGCTTTCCCCCTCCCCTGTATATGTACATTTTATATATTTATGTCTATTTACTGTATTTCCTCCCTGTACAATGACAATAAAGGCTTTCTGTTCTGTCCTATTAATGTCCTGGTTCAGATTCACCCAAAGTATATAATAAAACCACAGTCTGGTGGATTTAAGGCAAATAACACTTTACTGCTGCAGCTGAACATAACTAACACAATGACACTAAATCAATGTATATAATAATCATGTAACTGGAGACATAACTGCAGGTCAGGTCAGGTTGGGGAGCATGTGCTGATGCAGTATGTTGCTGCACCCACCACACAGCAAAACTCCTCGGGATTTCTGCCGGCGATTTCCCAGGCCTGTCCCACCCTCCAAAAATGGCCATCCATTTACCGCAGTCAGTTGTTATGTGGGCGTCCCCTTGGCCTGGTCCATCCGCTTGGGTCTTCAGCAGGATCCTGCGAGCCGGATCACCCTCAGGGAAACGCACCACATGCCCGTAGTGCCGTAACTGATTCTCCCTCACAATGCAGGTAATGTGCCTGATTCAGAACTCCTCTAGCAACCGCTCATTCGACACAAAGTCAAACCAGCTGTACCCAAGGAATTCCCGAAGAGACACAGTACCGAAGGAGTCCAGTCTTTGTCTCAGCTCACTGGATAGCGTCTATGTCTCACAGCCATACAGCAAGACTGGGAGCACCAGGACTTGGACCTTCGTCCTCTTCCAAAGATATCGGAAGCAACGCACACCCCTTTCCAGCGACCTCATGACCCCCATGCTCTTCCAATCCGTCTGCTGACTTCATAGGAAGAGTCACCAAAGACATGAATGTCACTACTGAGGTAAATAAGTCTCTCGACAAGGTCGATATTCTCCCTGCAGACAGACACACTACTGATGACTGTGCCAAAGTAAATGGCTGGATTTTGGTCTTTATCCCAGACACTCAGACTCCTCACTCAGTCAATCAAGAGCCCCAATCAGAGCCTCCTCATAGATCATAGCATCATCGGCCAAGTCAAGATCAATAAAACTTTCTTCACCAACAGATGCCCCACAACCGCTGGATCCCACGACCCTGCCCAGCACCCAGTCCATGCAAGCATTGAACAGAGTAGGAGCAAGAACACACCCCTGGCGAACCCCAGAATCAACTGGGAAGAACACAGAGGTTCTCCCTCCACTCTGCACAGCACTCACTGTACCAATGAGTGGCCGTGACGTTCAAAAGCTTCCTGGTGATCGCGCAAAATCTCAGAATGTCCCACAGGGCAACTCCATCAACTGAGTTGAACGCCTTACAAAAATTGACAAAGGCTGCAAAGAGCCTCTGCCTATATTTGCACTTGCGCTCAATGAGAACCCTCAGTTCAAGGATACGGTCGATGGTAGACTTCTTAGGCATAAAACCAGACTGCTCCGGTCGCTGACAGACAAGCAAGTGATCACGGATCCTGTTAAGGATGACCTTAGCATGGACCTTACCCGACACTGAGAGCAGTGTTATCCCCCTGTAGTTGCCACAATCCAGGCGATCACCCTTCCCTTTCCAGATAGGGAATACAAGTCCTGTTTTCCAGTCAGTTGGGTTGACACCTGACTCCCAAATGGAAACAAAGATTGCCTGCAATGCCAGGAGGACAGCCATACCACCAGCCTGGAGAAGTTCACCCCAGATACCACAGATCTCTGCAGCCTTCCCTACCCCCAGCTGATTCATCACCCATGCAATCTCAGTGAGATTGGGTGGTTCACAGCTGATTGGAGGGTCAGTTGATAAGAGTAGCAACAACAAGTCTGTGGTCAGAATTCACAAACTGGGCATTGGAGTAGCAAGTCCAACAATGCAGCTCAAGGCACTGGAACCAGGATCCAGCGACCCGCAGCCCCCGACCTGTCGCAAAGTCAAGGAACTTGGAGCCACTTTCACCACGGTCTCCAGACCCATGGGGACCGACACAGTCTTCATATCCAGTCCTGTCAGTGCCAGTGGTCGCATTAAAGTCACCCATTACCAGAGGACTGTCACCTCATGGGCACCCTTCAAACACTGAGCAAAGTTGCGAGTAAAATGTCTCCCTTAATGAGACATCACTCACGATCGGAGCATACACTCAGACAACAAACTGGACACCCAAGGAGTGCCTTAGCCTGAGTCTCATAACCGCAAAAGAAAAAAAAAAGCATCTGTGCAGCTGGAAGCAAAGTAATATCCTGTTACTGCCCTGGTTCTGTGGATTAAAATAAATAAAAAGAACTTATTAAATGATTAAATTGTTTTATGAAGTAATTATCTAATTTTAATTATTTAATGTTACCGCAGTCAGTTGTTATTGATTAAATTGTTTTATGAAGTAATTATCTAATTTTAATTATTTAAATGTACAGTGTTTCCTGCGGTTCACAAATGCTGTGGCCTACGAACAATTTGGTTTGCGACCAAAAATTTTGTAAAAAAAATGCATTGGTTCGTGTACAAAATTTGGTCGACGGACAGATTCCTTTTTTTCTACTAGTGTAGGACCGGCGGGGCGCATGTGTGGCAAGTGTAATGTTGTTACACTAGATTATTGAAATTGCTATTAACCAATTGCACTAAATGTACAGAATTTTTAATTTGAAATTTGTATTAGGAGACACTGCGTGAGTGTAGGCCATGTGACTGAGTATATGTTATGTATCATTTTCATTTCTTTATATAGGTCAATTTATATTTCTGAATTATTTTTTTTTGTTTTCCCTTTTTGTGAATTAGTTAATTTATCTAAGATATTCAGGAACCGCTGTCACGTAGACTATGCAGTGCGTAAGCGCGAGGGTAGAGCTGATGTCATTTCCGGGCGCGCTCTCTCTTACGCGGGATGTCATAGCGATAGGAGGTATGTTTTATCAGCTCCTCGGAAAAAGTGGTTAAATATTGTTCATTACTGATTGTTTACAGAGTTTCTGTGTGAAACGTGTTTGTTTGTTAACTTTATTCGGGGATTAGTAATCCAAGTTATGAATGTTGTAAAGAGTACGTTTATTCCGGGTATGATTGTGGTTAATGGCCGCCATTACACGTGCGGTATGCTTCTGCGTTTTCAGTATTTCATGATTCTTTGGTAAAACAGAGTTTAAAAGTTTCATCTGTGATAGAAGTTATAAATTTATAACTTATGAAGTTATATCTGTTTATTTTTAATGATCCAGGAGAGATTTGAATGTATTTCCTGTGAAACGAATATACACTGAAAAAGTATGTAATGATTCACAGGCACAACTAGAGCAGAGATTCCTCCTTTCACTGTCTCATGGTGGCTGTTATGTTTCAATACAGGTATGGATCATTATAGCATTGTTTTATTTTTCTGTATTTTCTTTTCTCTCCATTATATTTTCATTATTATTGTTGTTCAAAGAATTGTCAATGCTTGTTAGCTCTCTCTTACGCGGGATGTCATAGCGATAGGAGGCACAACTAGAGCAGAGATTCCTCCTTTCGCTGTCTCATGGTGACTGTTATGTTTCAATACAGAGATTCGAAGAAACCAAAAACTAAAGCACATGACAACTACATCCTTGTGTGAAGTCTCTTTTATTATCAACGCACACAACGCACAAGAAGATCCACTACAAATGTCCCAGCATGCCCCACATGCAGTTGTAAATAGAAGGACCACAACAGGCTCCCAACGAGCACCAAACCCAAATACACAGATGGCAAACACAAAGTTGTCAGATGCAAAACTGCAAGATGCACACATAGTGGAAGACTTACACAAGCTAAATGCACGCGAGGATCATTCCGGGTACACACAAGAGACGGGCAGACACATGCGCGACAATAGGGAAATGCAACCATTAACATTAACAACAACAGTAATACAAGGGTTAACCCTCACTTTGGTTTTGCCACCTGGGGAGTGCGGGTACCATTTGTCTAACTGGCAGCCTTTAGCCCCTTAGAAAGGGATCCACGAGTTGCTGTTCACTGCTTAATTTATTGCAAAAAATATATTACAAAACGGAAATGCATATCTTCCAAACATCCTTAATCTAACAGCAGCGTCGCTGATACCTTTTAATTTCAGACGCTTCCCTGGGACAGCGAACAGACCGGCCCTAAGGCTGAGGCCGAGGCCTGAGCTATTAGTTAAGTTCTCCGCAAACGAGCTTGATAGGCCGAATGGCCTCCTCTCGTTTGTAAATTTCTTATGTTCTTATGTTCTTACGTCAATGACGGTATCTTGCCAGCCCGCTTCCTCCCCACCATGTGTGACATGATCTCCATTTTAGGGCAGCGCCCTCACTGCCTGTAGAGGCGCAATCATACAAAATATAAAAGGATTACCTACCGTATGGTTACAAATATAAACTTACATATGGTTCCTACATCGACTAACTATTAAACCTAATAACATATAGACATGTTCAGTAAAGTCTGGTTTAAGCAATGATCTACGGGGCACAATGCACACCATATCCTTTTCATATTAGGAAATTGCAGATTATTTCAGATTTCTATATATCTTCTTTAATAACCGCACTATGAAGTGTACAAGTGAACATCATCATCACCATCCGCTTGTCCAGGGTTCGGGTCGCGGGGGTAGCAGCTTCAGGAGAGATACCCAGACCTCAATTTCCCCAGCTACCTCTACCAGCTCTTCAGGGAGATGCCGAGGCGTTCCCAGGCCAGCCGAGAGATATAATCCCTTCAGCATGTCCTGGGTCTGCCCCAGGGCCTCTTGCCTGTAGGACATACACGGAAAACCTCTCCGGCTAGCTGCCCAGGAGGCATCCACACCAGATGTCCAAACCACCTCAACTGGCTCCTTTCGATATGGAGAAGCAACGGTTCTACCCTCCCGGATATCCGAACTTCTCACCCTGTCCCTAAGGGAGAGCCCAGACACCCTGCGGTGAAAACTCATTTCGGCTGCCTGTATTCGCAATCTCATTCT